CCTTAAATGCCCTCCCCTGATAATGAGATTGATGACTGACTTATAAGCCTTCATCCAGCAGCTGCTAGAAGAAGCAGACACCCAGAACTAATCACTGAACTGAACTGGAATCCAGTTGCAGAGAAGGACAAGTGATGAGCAAAGGGGCCCAGAACAGGCTGGTGAAACCCACATAAACAGCTAACCTAAACAACAGGGAGCTCTTTGTCCCCAGACTGATAGCTGGGAAACCAGAATGCAATTGATTCAGACCTCAGGAATGTGGGTTGCAGTGAGGAGGCCTCAGAAAGCCATGGGGCCTCTTGTAGTAGATGGAGCTCTTGGTCCCCAGACTGATAGCTGGGATACCAGCATGGGACTGATCCAGACACCATGAATGTTGGTTTCCGTGAGGAGACCTCAGAAATCTACAGGACCTCCTATAGTAGTTCAGTACTTATCCCTAGCATATTTGTGGACTTTGGAAGCCCATTCCACATAGAGGGATACTCCCTGAGCCAAGACACATGGGGGTGGGCCTAGGCCCTATCCCAAAAGATATGATAGACTCTGATGGACCCCCCCCATGGAAGACCTCACCCTCCCTGGGGAGCAGAAGGTGTGGTAGGGGAGGAGGGGAGGGAGAGGGAACTGGGATTGACATGTAAAACAATCTTGTTTCTAATTCAAATAAAAAAATTCGGAAAAAAATAAGTGTGTATAACCAAGCCTGGCTAAAATAATTTCAACACACACTGTCAATGGAAGTGTGTGTAAGAAAACAGAAATTCCAGAAATATATGCAGATGAGCCATAGCCCTTCATAATAATATTTTATTAATAGCAAAATGAATAGCTTTTTAAAATAAACATTTTATACAAGAGTCAATTAAAATTGTCAATTAAAAAGAATTAATAAAAAATAGTCTAGCACTATATCCTAAGGAACATTCTCAATTTATTAGCTTTGGGTTTTTTTTTAATAAATATTATTCTACAGGAAAAAAAGTCCTGTGCAACAAGACTCAAAATAGCATTGCCAAGATTTAAATCCAGTCTGTGTTTCTTAAAAGCTTCATGCTATACTGCTATCTCTAGAGCCTTTCTCCCTTTCCAAGAGACTGTGTCTGAGCTGGGAGCCAACAATCTAGTCAAGGAGGGCAGGAGATAGGTCCTGAGGAGTAGAAGACTGGGTGAAGCCAGTGAAGTTGAAGAATTCCTTGAAGTAGTCCATCAGACTTCTGACTTACCTGGCCTAATGCTGGCTAGGTAACCCCATGGGGAGAGGGTTTCTACCTATTCTGCAGAGTCGGGATAAAGGCCAACCCTAAGGTTGAGGGGTCATAGTTGGTCTTTCCTCTCATTGACTTTGTATCCTGGTTTGCAATGTTATAGGTGAGTTGATATAAGTCCTTTGAGACTTCCCCCTTCAGTTCTTTGCTGTGATAGTAGTGAACCCTGCAATTTTGTGGAAAGTAAATCCAGCCTCTACTGTCTAGCCTGCTCTGGGTTAGCAATGATAACCTGTTAGTTCCTCTCTGTGCTCCATATGAGGGATATGAACAATTGTTTATCCTCTCTGGGCTGACCATCAGTCATCCTCACAAGGAAGGGACTTGATCTGACATCAAAGGCACCGTATATCTCTATCTACCTCTCTTTTAGGAAGTCTGTCATCCAGCTTGACCTTGCCAACACCAAGAAAGCGATGATTGTCCCTGCATTCGAGACACTGCGGTACCGACTCTCTTTTCCCAAGTCAAAAGCAGAGCTGCTGTCAATGTTGGACATGGGGACCCTGTTCACATTCAGGTGAGTGACCCTCATAGCAGTCATCTGGGGTTTCCAAAAGACCTCTGTCCCAGGACACCCAGATGTCAAAGGTGTTGGCAAAGAGGTCAGAGTATTGCAATAGTCCACTATAAAACCAAAAGGAGATATTAAGCCCAATGTATCTTGGGATTCTGTCTGTCCTCTCCTTTTGCCATGCTATTTACTTTGCTTTATACATAGATAGTAGGCACTGTGTTCAAATGGAAAGAGATGTTACTGGGGCAAGAAGACACACATCTATTTTCATAATTTAAAAGGAATGACAAATTCCAGTTATGGCCTTGTCACTGTCCCTTGGCTCACAATTTTGTCTTTGGTATCATGGCAGTGTTCTCTAGAGGATCAGAACTGATAGAAAGAATATATATTTAAAATGAGTTAATTAGGTTACCATATGAAATACAATCAGATTGGTCCAACAATGGCTGTCTCTATTGGATAAGCCAAGAATCTAGTAGTAGCCCAGCCCACAGTGCTGAGTACCACAGCAATACCAATCTTATGCCAAGGACCTGGTAGATTCTTGCCCTCCCAGTACACATTGGAAGCCTGAAGAAGTTGGTTCTAATATCACAGAAGGAATTGGTGATGGTAGCAGCAATAGTGTAAATAAATTTGTCAGCAATAGTGAAAAACAAGTGAGGAAAAATCTTTCCAAGTCTGGCTACTGCCAGAATGTGCCACATAGATTTAGGGAAGGTCTTCTATATTAAGGCAATCAAGACATTTTCCTGAAGGCCAACTCAATAAGTACAACTCATTGAGACCTCCTTGTGTCAAGTTGGCAATTAAAACCATCACAGTATGCATTATTGCTCTCAGATCCCTGGTGGAGTTTCTTTTTTCTTTTTTTCCTTCGTGTGTGTGTGTGTGTGTGTGTGTGTGTGTTTGTGTGTGTGTGTGTGTGTGTGTGTGTGGGTGAGAGAGAGAGAGAGAGAGAGAGAGAGAGAGAGAGAGAGAGAAAGTCTAATCTCTAAGCTCTTATGGCATGGAATAGGCATCTACAACTCATCATCTAACACTTAAGATCATCAATGGGACTCCAAAGATGCACACAACTGATGTAAGATCCATCTCCTCTGCTACCCAGACCCCAAGGCCTGAAAGGGCATTTGGGGAGCTATGCTGTATTCCCCAGCAATTATCTACACAAGTATTAAATGGCTCTATCTCCTGGAGACAGGCTCTAACATTAAGTGTGACAATCAGGACTAGGGGAGTGAGGATCCTGCTGATCTCTTCCAGATGGAGCATAATGAAAATATCCATTACATATCCCCATTTCTACTGAGGTTTCACATTCCTCCATTTCCTCTAAGTAAAAAAAGCATGCAGATTTGAGCAGCCTGAATTGTGCTCAAGGATCTTAGGCATGACAACTGGCTTGTCCTGATACTCTAAAACCTCTGAAAGGCTTTCTCGGACAGATTGTCAGTAAGGATGTTCATTCCATGGCACCATGTTCTTTCATCTTCATATTTAATGGTGAGTGGAGAGCTCCAAGTGGAGCCAGGACTCAATCTCCAGCCTTTATCTTCCATCCAGAGATCTAGAAAGGAACCTAGGAGAGGTCATCCCCTCAACCCATCCCATCCTATTTCCCAGAATTTGCATGTTTTGCATGTAATGGGGTACTGGTATGAACATAATCCTCATAACAAATATGAAGTAGCTACTAATTCCTATTTGTTGTGAAGACACTGAGCCTCTGAGAGTTCAAATAATCTGCTCAGTGACACGTGGCTGATAAGTGGCAGAAACAGGATTTAAGCTGAGGAACTCCCAGGCCTATATTCTTAGCTAAAATAACACTAGGCTGCTGACAATCCCTTTGTTTTCATACCAGTTCTTTATTGAAAACACAAAATCACAAAGGTCCTGGAAATTGAGATTTGAAACCAAATATTCATCTGAGTCTCCCACAGTCACTGTAGCTCAATATCTGAATACCTAGAAAAATCCCAAAGTGTTTCACCTATCATATTCCAGGTCAAGTGAGAAATCATTTCAAGGCCATATCTGAGGGCATGGGAGGAGGGGCCTATCCTGCTGTGCCCATGATCACTGCTCTGGCCAACAGCTTGCAAGCCACCATCCCTAGTGCTAAATACAGACCTCCCCTCTGAGAAACTGCTTTTGTCACCTGATCTCCAAAGAATATCGAAAGCTCTAGAAGTCCAGCCTCTAGTGTTTTAGCTCAGGATTCAAAAAAAGAAGCTACAAATAAGGCAAGGAACTAAAATCTGATGGAAAAGGGAATTAATCACATACAATTGCTCCTCTGCATGTTCCTTTATTCTTCTGCTTTTTCTCTCTTGCTGTTCTGTTTCTGTTTTTTTTTTATTTTTTTATTTTCTCCCACTCCCCTTACCCCAACCCCCCACCTGCCCCCCTCCATCCCCTTCCACTCACCAGGGAGGGTAGGGCCCTCAATGGGGGCTCCCCAAAGTCTACAACATCATTCTGGACAGTATCTAGGCCCTCCCCCATGTGTCCAGGCTGAGATAGCATCCCTTCATGAGGGATGGGCTCTGAGAGTCTCTTCTTACACCCGGGAAAAATACTGATCTACTACCAGGGGCCCCATAGAGTGCAGAGGCCTCCTCATTGACATCCATGTTTAGGGGTCTGGGTCTGTCCCACACTGGCCTCCCAGACAGCAGTCTGGGGTCCATGTGCTCCCCCTTGTTCAGGCCAGCTGTTTGTGTGGCTTTCACCAGCCTGGTACCAACCACTTTGATCTTCATTTCTCCCTCTCTGAAACTAGGTTCCAGAGTTCAGTTCAGTGGTATCTGTGGTTGTCTGCCTTTGCTTCCATTAGTCATTGGATGAGGGTTCTAGGATGGCATATAAAGTAGTCATCAGTCTCATTATAGGAGAAGGGCATTTAGGATAGCCTCTTCACCATTGCCTAGATTGTCAGTTCAAGTCATCCTTGTAGATCTTTGGAAATCTCCCTACTGCGAGATCTCTCCTCGGACCTATAATGCCTCCCTCTGTTATGGCATCTCTCATCCTGCTCTCCTCTATTCTTCTCCCAACTCAACCTTCCTGCTCCTCTATGTCCTTCTCTCTCCTCCTCGTCTCCTCCTTTCATTCTGCCAGTTCCCTCTCCCCTAGCCTCATGCTCCCAGTTAGGTCAGGAGATCCTGCCCCTTTCCATTCTCCAAGGTCCATGCATTTTTCTTTTAGAGTCCTTCTTGTTTCCTAGTTTCTTTGGTGAAGAGAATTGTAGGCTGGTAATCCTTTGCTCTGTGTCTAAAATTCATATAAGACTGAGTACAAACCATGTTTATCTTTTTGTGACTGGGTTACCTCACTGAGGATAGTTTTTTCTAGTTCCATCCATTTGCCTGTGAATTTCAGGATTCCATTGCTTTTTTCTGCTGAGTATAAATGTATACTCCATTGTACAATTCTCCATTGTATAAATGTACCACATTTTCTCTATTCATTCTTCAGCTGAGGGACATCTAGGTTGCAGGTTATGTCTGTTACAAACAACACTGCTATGAACATGGTTGAACATACATCCTTGTTGTTTGAACATTCATTATTTGGGTATATGCTCAAGATATGAATTGCTGGATCTTGAGGTAGACTGATTACCATTTTCCTGAGCAACCACCATACTGATTTCCAAAGTGGTCTTACAAGTTTGCACTCCCACCAGCAATGGAGGAGTGTTCTTCTTTCTCCACATCCTCTTCAGAATAGATTGTCATTGGTGTTTTTGGTTTTAGCCATTCTGACTGGTGTAAGATGGTATCTCAGAGTTATTTTGAGTTGCATTTCCCTGATGGCTAAGGATTTTGAGCACTTTTTAAAATGTCTTTCAGCCATTTTAGATTTCTATGTTGAGAATTCTCTATTTAGTTCTACACCCCACTTTTTAATTTCATTGATTGGTGTTTTGGTGGCTAGCTACTTGAATTCATTGTATATTTTGGAAATCAGCCCTCTATCAGATGTGGGGTTGGTAAAGATCTTTCTACATTCTGTGGGCTGCTGTTTTGTCTTACTGTGTCTTTGCCTTACAGTAGCTTCTCAGTTTCAGGAGGTCCTATTTATTAATTGTAGATCTCAATGTCTGTGCTACTGGTGTAATGTTTAGGAAGCATTCTCCTATACCAATACATTCAAGGGTATCTCCCATTTTCTCTTCTAGAAGATTCAGTGTGGCTGGATTTATGTTGAGATCTTTGATCCATTTGGACTTAAGTTTTGTGCATGGTGACAGATGTGGATCTATCTGCAATCGGCTGCATGTCCATCCAGTTGTGCCAGCACCATTTGTTGAAGATGTTCTCTTTGTTCCATCGTATAAGTTTGGATTGTTTATCAAAAATCAGGTGGTCATAGGTGTGGGGGTTAATATCAGGGTTTTCAATTCGATTCTGTTGGTCTACCTGTCTATTTTTGTGCCAATACAAAGCTGTTTTCAGAACTATGGCTCTATAATAGAGCTTGAAATAAGGGCTAGTGATGCCTGCAGAAGATCCTTTATTGTACAGAGTTGTTTTGGCTATTCTGGGTTTTTTGTTTTTCCTTATAAAGTTGAGTATTGTTCTTTCAAGGTCTGTGAAGAATTGTGTTGAGATTTTGATGGGGATTGCATTTGAATCTGTAGATTCCTTTTGGCAAGATTGCCATTGCCATTTTTACTATGTTGATCCTACCTATCCAAGAGCATGGGAAATCTTTGCATTTTCTGGTATCTTCCTTAATTTCTTTCTTTAAAGCTTCAAAGTTCTTACTGTACAGGTCTTACACTTTTTTGGTTAGTGTTACCCCAAGATATTTTATGTTGATTGTGGATAATGTGAAGCGTGATGTTTCTCTGATTTCTTTCTCATTCTGTTTATCATCCATATATAGTAGGGCTACTGATTTTTTTTAATTAATTTTGTACTCTACCACTTTAGGTGTTTATCAGCTGTAGGAGTTCCATGGTAGAGTTTTTCAGGTCACTTCTGTAAACTATCATCATATCATCTGCAAATAGTGAAAGTTTGACTTCTTCCTTTCTAATTTGTATCCTTTTGATCTCCTTTTGTTGTCTTATTGCTCTAGCTAGAACTTCAAGGACAATATTGAAGATGTATGGAGAGAGTGGACAGCCTTGTCTTGTCCTAGATTTTAGAGGAATTGTAATATCCATTTAGTTTGATGTTGGTTGTTGCCTTCCTGTATAGTGCTTTTATAATGTTAAGGTATGTTTCTGTTATCCCTGATCTCTCTAAGACTTTTATCATGAAGGGGTGTTGGATTTTGTCAAAGGCGTTTTCAGCATTTAGTAAGATAACCATGTGTTTTTTTTTTTCTTCAATCTCTTTATGTGGTGGATCACAATGATGGATTTTCATATGTTGAACCATCCTTGCAACCCTGGGATGAAGCCTACTTAATCATAGTGGATGATTTTTCTGATACGTTCTTGGATTCGATTTGCCAGTATTTTGTTGAGTATTTTTGCATCGATATTCACGAGGGATATTGGTCTGTAGTTCTGTTTTATAGTTGTATCTTTGTGTGGCTTGGGTATCATGGTGAAAGTAGCTTCATAAAAACAGTTTGGCAATGTCCCTTCAGCTTCTATTGTGTGGAATAATTTGAGGAATACTGGTATTAGCTCTTGTTTGAATTCCTGGTAGAATTCTGCAGTGAAGCCATCTGGCCTTGAGCTTTTTTTGGTTGGGAGGCTTCTGATGACTGCTTCTATTTCATTAGGCTTTATAGGTCGATTTAAACTGCTTATCTGATCTTGGTTTAATTTTGGTAAGTGGTATCTATCCAGAAAATTGTCCATTCCCTTTAGATTTCAAATTTTGCGGAGTACAGGTTTTCACATTATGACCTCATGATTCTCTGGATTTCTTCAGTGTCTGTTGTTATATCCCCCTTTTCATTTCTCATTTTGTTAATTAGCGTGCTCTCTCTCTCTCTCTCTGCTTTTTGGTTAGTTTAGATAGAGGTTGTCTATCTTGTTGCTATTCTCAAAGAACCAACTCTTTGTTCCATTGATTCTTTGTAATGCCTTCCTAGTTTCTGCTTTATTGATTTCAGCCCTCAGTTTGATTATTTCCTGGCATCTATTCCTCCATGGTGAGTTTGCTTCTTTTTCCTCTAAAGCTTTCAGTTGTTCTGTCAATTCTCTAGTGTGTCTATTCTCCAGTTTCTTCATTTAGCTTACACTTAAAATTGCTGTTCTTCACTGAAGAAAGTCGGGACAGCAACTCAAGCATGGGCAGGATCTTGGATGCAGGGGCTGATGCAGAGGCAATGGAGAGTTGCTGCCTAATGGCTTACTTCCCCTGGCTTGCTCAGCCTGCTTTCTTATAGAACCCAGGAACACCAGCCTCCGAATAGTGCCACCTTCCATGAGCTGGGCCCTCCCACATTGATCACCATTTAAAAAAAAAAAAAATGCCTTAATCTGGATCTCATGGAGGCATTTTCTCAAATGAGGCTCCTTCCTCTCTGATAAGTCTAGTTTGTGTCAAATTGACACACAAAACCAATCAGTACACCATCTTTCCTAACCCCTTTCTGTTGCCCCTATTGTAGCTTCATTTCACTCCCTGCATCCACATTCTCTGTAACTTGCAGTGGCCACTAGTCTGTCTCTCAGACACCTCTCAAGTTTTAAAATATTCATCTACTCATTTTCACAGTGCACTGTGTCACATCATGAAAGTGGATTCACAATTGAGAACAGCATCATCCTAGTGATATGGGAGGAGAGAACCTGGGATCTTAGAGCTTAAAGGAAATCTTTTTGGGAAAGATCACCTGAGAAGGAATGTGGTACATTCAGGGACATAGAGTGTCAACAGAGTCCTAATCTTCAGAGTTATAAGCCTCAACCCCTTTGCTCCTTCTATTCTTGTATGAGTGTTGATGACAGGGGCACACAAGCTGGCCTTTGGACTAGGCTTCATTACTATTTGCAACCCAGCATTGTGTACAATTTAGAATTTAAAACAGTATGTATGTACAACATTTAGTCCCAACCCATAGTAAACATCTAACAAATATAATCTTCTGATTATTGTACAATCATTCATTTTTCATTGCCAGATAACAAATTACCACAAACACAACACTGTAAAGCAGTGCAGACTTACAACCTCACTGTCGCTGCCATCTTGTAAAAAGTAGCCAGCTGTGTGCCCACGGTATCACTGGATGGAAAGGAGATGTCTAAAGAAATACAGGCCTCTTCTAGTGTCACATGATCCTCTTCCTGCTGTTACCAAGGACAAGGTCTTCATCTTAGCTTTTGAACATGTACCCCCATTAGCCCCTGGCTCCTCCCTCTTTGTACCCTAACTTCATAAACAGATCACAGCATGACTCTTTCCTTCCTTCCAGATCTGAAGGATCATGAGTCATATCAGACCTAACTTGGTAATCTCAATTTTCATTAATACAGAGGCACCTGCTTAATAAGCTTCACATCTATAAAAATCCACTCTTGCCACATGGTGTAATATAACCAGATAGGTATCCTACTTATAGGTTCTGCCCCATCATTGAGGAGCAAGAAAGATCACCTGATCATCAATGGTCCTTGGTGGGGATTACCAGATATAGATTACATGGAAATTATGCCAAGTGCTTGGAACATCACTCACCTTTCTATGGAGTCTTCTCTTTAGTGACATAACTCTGAGAAACCACATTAGTTTCCCAGGGCTTCTGTAACAAAATACTACAAAATAGGTAGCTTAACACACCAGTTCATTATTATTTAACAATTTTGCAATTCAGAAATCCAAATTCAAGTTTCTAATAGGTCTGTGGTTTTCCAAAAGCTCTAGGAAAGATACCTTCATTGCTCCTCTCTGCCTTTTTGCTGGTGACTGCCAGCAACCCTTAATATTCTTTGTTTCTTGATAAGTCTGTCGTTCTATGCTCTGTTTGTATCTGCACATCTGAGTGTGTATCTGTGTGTCCAAATCTCCCTCTCATAAAAGGACATCAGATTAAGTCCCACCTAATTTTAGCTTAAGTACACCTGTAAAGGTCCTGGTTCCTACCAGGTTACATTTATAGGCACTGAAGATTTGAAATCGAATGATAGTTTTGCAGGGACACAGTGCATCCCACCAAGAAGACCATATCAAAATGTACTTCTTCCTCCACATCACTAGGGTTGGGAAAGCTCAGCTTCCATCACTTTACTCATTGGCTTTTCTCCACATTTCCCAGGTACCACGTCTGGACTAAAGGCCATGCACCCACAAACTTTGCCAAGTGGCGGACTGCCACCATGCCTTACCGGGTTGAGTGGGAGGCTGATTTTGAGCCATATGTTGTTGTGAGACGAGACTGCTCTGAGTACGATCGGAGATTTGTGGGTTTTGGCTGGAACAAAGTGGCTCACATCATGGAATTGGATGCACAGGTAAGAACAGAACACCTAACTAGTACTGTGCGGGGAAGGAGAGAGTTACAGATATTAGAAGTGAAAGAGAACCTTGGACATAAGAAGATTAAAAAAGGACCTTCAGAGGAATAATATATGTTCAGGAACTAAGAATGAGAACATGAATCTGGTTTTCTAGGCTTTCAACCTCAAACTTGATCTTCCTTCTTCCAATACATGGAATTGGGTTCCTGGCCAGGATTAGGCAAATGTAAATCTCCTATAATACATCATCTTACCCCCTCCATCCAGTGAGGAAGACAAGCACAGGACAAATAGTCATGACTTGACCTCCAAATTGTGTAATTGTATCACTGTAAATAGCACAAAACCTGTCACTAAAATGTGGCTAATTATTCCACCCTTCAGTTAAAACAAAAGTGAATTTTATATTGTGTTCAGTCTAAAAGCCTTCATTCATTAACACAATACTTAACAAGCATATACTTCAGAACAAGTCTGCAGAACTTTAACAAGTGAAGCCCAGGTACTGCACAAAGCATGCCCATCCATTGTTACCCATGTTATGACCAACATACCTGCTTAGAGACCGTGAGCCCTGTCCTGCCTTTGCTGCTACTAGAAAGAACAATGGTATTTCTGGGCCCAGCAGTGTTGTTTGGTGAATTTTCAAAGAAAAGTTCATTTTTCCCATAACCAAGGCCTGGTCTTTGTTTTATACTCTCTCACAGTGCTTTTGCAAATGGACCATATACTTTCCTGTATTTGCTTGTAGCATTCATCAGACAAAATTATACCCATTCCAATGATTTAAAAAAGCAAAACAGTTGCCAAGCAGTGGTGGTGAACTTGGGAGGCAGGGGCAGGTGGATCTCTGTGAATTTGACATCAGCCTGATTTACAGAGCTAGTTCCAGGACAGGTTCCAAAGCTATAGAGAAACCCTTTCTTAAAAACAAAACTAAACAAAACAAGTAAGTAAAACACTCCCAGCTGACAGGTCACAGAGCCCCAGCTGTGGAGACAATGGGAGAGGTTAGTCTACTTTGTCTCTGTGTGAAATGCCTCAGACATCTGGGCTATATAGTTGTGAGTTTTCTCCTGATTTTTCTCACTTCACTATCAGTTCACAGACTCTGCCTGTCACATCTGCCTTTCCTGTCCTCAGTTTATTTTGTTGAGTTTATTCTTGTCTACTCTGGGTGGAGAAAATAGATGACATGAATACAAAATTGGAGCAAAGACATGGACTGTGCATGTGCTGGGTTCTGTCTGAGTTACATGTCCTAAATTTGTGTCCCTTGTTTAGGCAGTTCAGAGAGAGGCATTGTGTATTTGACTGTCTCCTACCATATCAAACATATTCTATCATGTCATCACTTAAAATAAGTTGGGAAAGGTTTAATCCTTTTTAAGCTTCAATACAGTTTAACATTTTGGTCTTTTATCTGGGTATTTAATTATTTATATCTCTGTCTATTTATTTTTTAAGTAAGGATCTTACACTATGGCTTAAGCTGGTCTGGAACTTGCTAAGTAAACCAGGTTGTCATGCAATCTATTGTAGTCTTCTCATACAGACGTCCCAAATACTGGTTATGACATGAGCTTAAACATTTGCTCAGATTTCAGTTTATTAGCCAACAGAATATTGCATGGTAGCATCATTCCAGTGTGACTGTGGGGTGTATGGAGATCCCCTGAAGCAGGCATGGGTTCTGTTCCCCTCTTTCCATACAATATGAGTTTCACCCTCATAATGATTCTTCAACATAGATTTTGTCACTCTCACTTTGTAGATGAGCAAACCAAAGTTCAGATGACTCCTGTATTTTGTACAAGTTCATAGGCATGATCCTGAAGCAAGCTATTGTGACCCCCTTCCAGTGTTGTTCTCTAGTCTCTTGATTCAAAGTCATATAAGACCCAAGGCTCTTGCAAGATCTCTCATTACCATTGTCTTTCTCCTTCAGGAGTATGAGTTCACCGTGTTGCCCAATGCCTACATGATCCACATGCCCCATGCTCCCAGTTTCGACATCACTAAGTTTCGTTCCAACAAGCAATACCGAATCTGTCTCAAAACCCTGAAGGAAGAGTTTCAACAGGATATGTCCAGACGCTATGGCTTTGCTGCCCTGAAATATCTCACGGCTGAGAACAACAGCTAGCACATGAAGGCCACGACTAGGGATAGACATGCCACAGGGGAAGAGCCACTTTCTGCCTGGGCACCAGACTTTGAAGACAGAATTCATCACTGCTTTTCTTTGGTTTGTTTCTCTTTGTCTCTCTAGCCCCACAAAGCTGCTTTGTTCTGAGATCTTCGACAGGGACCCAATCATGAGGTGCTTCCAGAATGGAATACAGAAGGGTAGAAGCAAATGAAGAGTTAACAACTTAACCACAAAGCCACAGATCAAGTCGGAGTTTCTGGATGTTCTCATTGCTTTTTAATAATTATGGTTCAAATCCTAGCTGTAAGAAAGAAGTCACTGTTCTAGGGCTTAATCACTGCAAGAAATAAGAGCAAGCTATTTCTTTCTAGGAAGAGAACTTTATTTTCCCTCCCCCTTAGCTAGGTACTCAGGGGGAGCACTAGCCAAGGACCCAGACATGCCATCTTGAGACATGCATAGGGACTTTATATATGCAAGGACCTAGAAGTAGGGTGAATTGCTTTCTTTATTATAAAAGTCTCTCTTGTCGGTTGTTTTGAGTTGTTTGAATTTGGAGGATTTTATTCATCTTGATCGAGGATTCCAAGCTAAACAAATCTCTAATCGTTAAAGTTCTAAAAGAAAAATCAGCTCCCTCAAGCAACACTCCTGTCAGCAAAGATGAGCATCTTCAGAGTATGTTCTCAGATGGGCAGGTTCCTTCAGGATGAACACTGAGACCCCCGATGCTTAGTTCTCCATGGCTATGACAGGGACTACAGAAATATGAGGCCAAACACTGTATGCAAGTCACATTTTCTATGGACAATGACCAAGTCACAAGGAAAGGGCTTCAAGAAACTTTCATTACTCACAGAAGGTATGATTCTCCTCTCAGACCTTTAGAACTTGAACAGTTCATAGAAGACCAATCTGAAGACTTGTGTGACCACATGGAAGGCACTGGAAGAAAAGGGTCAGGCACCTCCCTGTTGGACTTGGGGGAGGGGAGGAGTTGATGACCTTAGTTTCCCCTCAGGATTTGTCCAAGGGTTGGTAGGTACCTCTTCATTTTGCAGATGGAGAAAACACTGAACTTTTTACCTGTTTTCTTTACTCTTCACTATTAATGTTGTGTTTACATTGATGAGAACAAGAGTTAATGGCCTACCGACTGCTGGGCTGTTTGTTATGAGTTGCCATGTGACCAGCAAAAGCTGCATTTAATAAATGAAAGTACAGACTGTTTCTTCCTCCTCTTGCCACTCTTGTAAGAAGCCACATGACACACTTGGTCTAGAGGGCAAAGTCAATTCCATGCACAGCATCTCACACACTCTGCTATTTATCTCACCTTTCACATTGTTTGAAATGTCACCTTTTTTTCTCAGTGTTCAAGGTTAGATCTCACTTTCTCCTCTAACACTCAACTCATTTCCAAAATTTCCATTTTGTATCTGTTTCACCACAGTAACCAGATGCTTTATATTGTAAGTATGCAAATTGTGGGGATTAGTAGCAAATTGAATAGCCTGTCTTTAGGACTCTCTTGTTCTGTGGTGCAGAACAGTCCAATCAATGAGGCCACTACATTCAGCATTTTCAATGGTATTTCCCCTAAATTAGTACAAAATGAAGAAAGATATAATTAAAATTGCCACACAAATACAGATAAGTTTGTGTCTTTATTAGTTACTTCTCGGTTACTAATACAAAATATCTGACAATAGGGTTTATTTTGGTTCAGAGTTTGAGAATCCAGCTCATGATGGTAGGGAAGGCATGGCAACAAGAACTTGAAGCCACTGGTTCTCAGCATTAAACATCAAATTTTAATTCCCTAAAGCTTTCTTTAAACATTTATCCTAGCACATGAATTGACCCAGACACCTTGTTTTCATCCACATGTTTATAGGAATAGCCAATGACCATATAATTTACTAGCCAAGCAGGGTCACTCCTGAGAATGAAAGAAGATTCTAATTACTTTGATATAATACCCATAAACTGAAAGATGATGAAATTGCAGGTATATAGAATCTATCTATTAATGCTGATATTCCATACTATTTTGAGTAACATCCTGGTTCCTCAGATATGGCTGCCTGACACTGTCATCTAGTCCCATTTAAAAATAGAGCTAAAAAATTTGTTTAATTCACCCAAATTCAATCCAAAGGTTGACAACTAGTGGAAGTTTATGTGCGTGGAGCCAACAGCATGAGTCAACAGTGAGTCCCCACTTCAGGAAGTGCCACTTGGTGCTATCACTAGCCTATATTTGGGAAACATAGCAATTTAAGCCAAGGGAATTGTCATGGATGGTGATTCCTTTGTATCAGCTTCCTGGGATCTATCAAAGTTTGGAATGTATCATGCTGATGTCATGCCATTACTGTCATGCTGATATAGTTGACAGGAAGGACAGGTTCTCTCACTAGCTTCATAATGCTCAGTGTCTAGGAGAATTGCTTTTAAATAATAAACCACTGTGTGCAAGACCCTTTAGCATATATATTAGCTCATTGAGTGGTTATATATAGCCTGATAGTGGGCACTGCTGATTATCAGTGAGGAGACAGAGTATACTCAAGTTAAATAACTTCCCTTTAATTACTAGGATCCAGGAAACACAAGCCAGATTTGAAATTCAATCCTACTTATTTAATCCAAAAACACATAACCTACAATACTGCTGTTGCCTCTTCCAATAAGCTAAATAAATATGAACTGAGAAAAAGGGAAGAGGGATTTGAACCTGTTAGAGAAAATTAACCTTCCTTCTTCAATAGCCATTTGTGTGTTACACAAAGCCTGAACAACAGACACTCCACCATTTTCCAAAGCTAGCTGTGCCCATGAACCTCCTAAAACTCATGTGAACTAGACCTGGTCAGTCTGTAATCATATGTAAATAGTTGGGTTCAACCTTAGGGAACATAAACTCTCTCCCTGAATGCTAAGTGACCCAGGTAAAAGTATGGAGTTTTAAGATATCCCATGAACCCTAACCCAGCAAGTTACTTCAAAGTAATATTGGTAAATATGTCAAGTTGACTTATAAAGCACATGTAGACAGAGCTGATAAATAGATTCTTAGAGCTCTATTATGAAATGACAGATACTACATTAATACTGTTCCTCTAAAAGATGTTCCTGTCTGAGTTAATGCTGTGTTGTTACCAGGTCTTTAGGGAGTTCTGTGTTGGTAGAGAAGGTTTTGGTTAGGGTTAGCCTAGGGTTAGGGTTAATGTTAGGGTCAGGGTCAGTGTTAGGTTTAGAGATAGGCTTAGGTTTGGGTTAGCATTAGGGTTAGTGTTAGGGTTGGGATTAGCATTAGGCTTAGGGTTAGGGTTAGGTTTAGTGTTAGGGTTAACATGATGGTTAGGGTAAGGGTTAGGATTAGGGTTAGGTTTATCATTAGGATTAGGGTTAGCATTAGGGTTATGGTTAGGGTAAGGATTAGCTTTAGGGTTAGGGTTAGTTTTAGGGTTAGGCTTAGCATTAGGGTTAGGGTTAGTGTTAGGGATAGTGTTAGGATTAGGGTTACGTTTAGAGTTATCATGAGTGTTAGGTTTAGGGTTAGGGATAGGGTTAGGATTAGGGTTAGCATGAAGAATAGGGTAAGGGTTAGGGTTAGGATTAGGTTTAGCATGAGGGTTAGGGTTAGCATTAGGTTTAGTGTTAGGGTTATGGTTAGCATTAGGGTTAGATTTAGGGTTAGCTTTAGGGTTAGGGTTAGCATTAGGGTTAGAATTAGGGATAGGGATAGTGTGAGGGTTAGGTTTAGCGTAAGCAGTAGGTTTAGGTTTATGGTTAGGGTTAGTATTATGGTTAGCATGTAGGTTAGGGTTAGCATTAGGGTTAGTGTTAGGGTTAGGCTTAGGGTTAGTATTAGGATTAGGGATAGCTTTAGCATTAGGGTTAGGCTAGGCTTAGGTTAGCATTAGTGTTAGGATTAGGGATAGGGTTAGCATTAGGGTTAGGGTTAGCATTAGTGTTAGGTTTAGGGATAGCTTTAGCATTAGGGTTAGGCTTAGCATTAGTGTTAGGATTAGGGATAGCGTTAGCATTAGGGTTAGGTTAGGGTTAAGGTTAGCATTAGGTTTTGGGTTAGTGTTACGGTTAGCATTAGGGTTAGCCTGAAGCTTATGCTTAGCGTTAGGGTTAGGTTTAGGTGTAGCATTAGGGTTAGGGTTAGCATGAGCGTTAGGGATAGGGTTAGGTATAGGGTTCAGGTTGGCATATGGGTTAGGGTTAGGGTTCGTGTTAGTGTTACCATTAGGGTTAGGGCTAGGGTTTGCCTTAGGGTTAGGTTTAGGATTAGGTTTAGCATGAGGGTTAGGTTTACGGTTAGTATTAGGGTTGGCATGAGGGATAGGGTAAGGGTTAGGGTTATGGTTAGCATTAGGGTTAGGGTCAGGGTTAGAGTTAGGGTTAGGTTAGGGTTAGCATGAGGGTTTGTTTTAGGGTTAGCATTAGGGTTAGGTTTGCGGTTAGGGTTAGGGTTAGATTTGGTGTTAGTGTTTGGGCTAGGGTTAGGGTTAGGGTTTTCGTTAGGATTAGGGTTAGGGTTAGCATTAGGGTTAGGGTTAGCATTAGGGTTAGGGTTAGGGTAAGGCATAGGGTTAGGGTTAGGGTTAGCAATTGGGTTAGGGTTAGCATTAGGGTTAGGGTTAGGGTAAGGCATAGGGTTAGGGTTAGGGTTAGCAATTGGGTTAGGGTTAGCATTAGGGTTAGGGTTAAGTACCTAACTCACACACATGAATCCCCTGCTGAGAATACACGAAACTCATTCAATGTGAGTTAACTGATGTGCAAACACAAACTCCCAGGAACTAACTTCGTTGTACTTCAACAGTTTGGATAGAACGAAATAGAGAAAACTATCTCCATCTTTGTTGTACATGACAGCCTTGATGAAATTACCCATAACTCAATTTAAGTTACCCAGCTCACACGCAACACACTCAGTCATTGTGCTACATGAATCCCCTGCTGAGAATACATGAAACTATATCAATGTAAGTTACTAGCTTCTGTTCCACTTGCTGCATAATTGTGGTCCAACCTAATCTGTTCTCCAAAACCTCACTGCATAAAGCTGTTATTTCCTGTAAGTACATGGTGAGGTTATCCTTATCCCTATTCCTGAGTCCTCTGGCTAGTAACAATATTGGTACCAGCAAGCTAAATGCCATTACTGTATATGGGCCGGTAATTGGCAGATTAGCATCCTCCTCAAACAGTGAATTCACATAATAAGCAAAAATATTACCAAGTTTAGCAAATGATAAATATTCCGCCATAATTTTACCTGATTTCTACTCCAGATACAGTAAATATATTTGATCAGCAGGTAGCACAGACGTTCAGTGATTAGTCCGTGGCGTTTGGCAGCAGTTAGTCAGCGGTGGAGAGAGGTCACACAAAGTGGCTCCACTTATCTTAGAGAGTATATGGCCTTGCGGCCGCAACCCCAGAAACAGATGCAGCTTTACCGCAGCAGAGGCCAGGGGAAGCCTCTGCTGAAAGCCGAGGCCTACTCGACTCTAGGCAGCTAGAAACTATCTCCGAGCTGGGTGAATGGTTCTGAGCAGCTCAGCTGCAGCGGGTCAGCTGGGAGCCGGGAGCAGCTGTGGAGAGAGTCCCCATGACGTAGACGCACTCTATAATACCCTGACGCCCTCCCAAGCATGGTCAGGCACACCTGTAGCCAGCCCCTAAGTAGGCGTGGCTACAGCTTCCCCTACACAAAATTCTCTCAATTTAAGTTACCTGACTCACACACATGAATCCCCTGCTGAGAATACAGGACACTCGCTCAATGTAAGTTAACTGACAGATGCAAACACAAACTCCCCGGAACTAACTTCGTTTTATTTCCACAGTTCAGATAGAACGAAATACAGGAAGCTATCTCCATCTTTGTGTTACATGACTCCCATGATAAAATTACACAAAACTCAATTTAAATGACCTAACTCACACATAACCCACTAAGTCACTGTCCTATGTGAATACCCTGCTGAGAATGAATGAATCTCAACTCCTCCCCTTATTTTTGCTATCCATTTAAATCTTTCATGAATGGGAATACTATTGACGCTGACATGGATATCTCAAGGTGATATATCAACATAGTTACCTAACAATGCGCAAAGACAAACTTCACCAAATTAACTTTGTTGTAGTTCCAAAGTTCCGATGGAACGAAATAGACACTAGGCCCATCGTTTTGTACATGACTTGCCCTGCTGAAATTACAGTAAACTCATTCAATTTACGTTACCTGACTCACACAAAACACACTCAGTCAATGTCCTAGATGATTCCCCTCTATAGAATACACAAAACTCACTCATTGTAAGTTTCCTAATATATGCTCTAACACAAACTTCACAAAACTCACTTCATTGAAGCTCCAAAGTTCCCATAGTACGAAGTACAGCAATCTCCCTCAATCGTTGTCATACAATGTAGGGGAAACCAAAGAGTAGAGTCTTGGCATCCAATATCCCAAGTGCACTGCCTGAACTCAGCACTGCCCTTCAACACAGTCAGCAAGGAGCTCTTGGATCTCTTCCATGGGTCATGGACACATGCTGACAGCTTATAGCTCAGACCAACTGAAAGGGTTTCTCACCTGAGTTCCCGCACCCTGGGTGTT